ATGGCCACATTTGGCATAACAAATGGACGGTTGGCCGTCTGACTGTCTTTGATTAGCCACTGCCACCCACTGTTTTCACAGCCTTGGCTTCTGATAAATCGGCCCATGCTAGGGTCCATAATAAGCCGGGACACGCGCAAATGCTGTAAATATTTACAAAGACCGAGGCGCTTCTTTTACTGTCCAACTGCGACGGGGTGCACAAATGTTATTCACAACATAATATTAATTATAATAATAATGGCTGTACTTAATTAAGCAGCATGCGTCCAGTGGGGGAATTTGGTAGTGGCATGTGTAAATACCACCACTCATCATTAATTTGTTGTTTCAATAAATAGCCAAAAATGTAGTGTTTGTGTTTGTTTTGCGTGCTCGCCATTTTTTGGGCAAATATTTGACGCCAGCTTCTAAAGTGCTATAAGCACTTTGGCCAACTCTTCTTTTTTCGTGCAACCACGATAAAATGTCGAAGTTGTAATTCGAATTGTGCCTTTTTGTTATGCGTGAAAGTTTCATAATGACACTTTTACTTTTTGTTAATGATAATACATTTCACTCGGCAATTTGTTAGACCAACATAATTAAAGAGTACCTTGAAGGCAAGTACGTGTGGGCGCTGCTGCTCATTGTGGTTATGTGGGTTATGAATGAGTTGTGGGTGGGAGGTTCTCACAATTTAGTTGCCCTTCAGCTTTTCAAGTGGCAGCAATTGCGCATTTCCACAAGTACCTTTGGCAGTGAGCTAGAAATAAAGCTAGTTAGCCGAATAATAGGTAAATAATGAGAGCGAGAGAACGAAATTCATTTATATTCCATTTCTGAAAGTTACTGCGCAAAACAAATGATGTAATTTGTTTAGTAGTACGTAATAAAATGAGTAGTGGTTGTTCAGTTTTGTCAAAATATGGAAAATACTATATGCATATTATACATTTAAAATGCAAAATGCAATTTTAGTTGATTTTTTGCAAACTCAGTCTCTTCAGCTGTAATTGTTGTTAAACATTTCCATTCATTAGCATTCGTTATTAGTTAAGAGCAACGTTGTAGCTTTAATTAATGAGTATTAGTTCATCTAAATTTAATTTTTTTATAAAAAAAATATATTTATACATATATATATATAAATAAAAAATATTATATTAATTACCAGTCTTTTAGATTTACGAAAACCTTATTCAAGTAGTTCAATATCGCTTGTTTATTAACATATTAATATATTTTTCAAAGTTGTCTACATAAGGGTTATTTGTAAGTAATTGATTCGCCTTTGCTGCAACAGAAAAACAATGAATTTCACTTAGAAAATATTTTAATGTCATGTTGATCTTTATTTTCAATTTTTATACTATTAATATTGTGAATGGCCCGGGCATTGGAATCAATGCATTGCGATAAATTGTGAAACATTTTCATAGCAAATTACCATTTGCATTATTGGTGAAATTATTACTTCCTTCCTATTGCCATCAAAGTATAGCGGAAAAGGCTTCATCATTTATATTTTCCCTCGCTTTCATTTCCATTTTTTCTATTTATTTTCTTAATTTGTATTTATGTTTAGTGAGCGCGTGCACATCGGCCAGTAACAAGAACAAAAACAACAATACATAGCACATCAACAGCCGCAAGTTTTGCCACTACCGCTGCTTTGTTAAATTAAGAAAACACCAGGAATCAGCAACGACAATAACAACAACAAGGTTAACCAAGCAGCAACAACGAAAGTGTTGCATGCCTGTGGCGATGCCGACGCCTCGTCGAGCCACAGACGCAACGCAAGCGAATTCGTATTATTTTAATTATTTCATTTGTGTGCAAAATGAGGGGTCGCGAAGGGAAAGAAAAAAGTCCGCGCCGGGCATGGGAATCCTTCACCCAATGGCTGCTGTTGACTTTTGCCCGTTTTCCAGTTTGACTGTTTGCTTTGCATTGCTTGTGGAAATGAAAAACGTGAGCAACAATGAACATTTGAGTGGCGGGCTAAATGAAAACATAATAATAACAATGAAAGAATAAAATGTTTGTGCACGCTTACCAAATATTTTTCTACTTTCGATTGATTTAACCAAATAATTGTAAGAGGGCCAAAAAAGAAGACGCATTCGGTATTCATATGTATGTTAAAAGCAGAATACCCAAATGGCATGCATGACGAAACAGTTTCAGATAATTAATGAGTTGTGTTAACAAAATTAACAAGCACTTGGCGGGACTATTATCTGAGGTAACAAATGCACATACATACGAGTATGTAATATAGCTAATTGGCTCTGATTTTATTTAAATCACAGATATACTAAATTTTTGCCACTTAATGTAACGAATTGCATGTGTCCTATGTGTTTTAATCCTTTTAATTAAGTAATATACGTTTTACAGTCGGATGGCAGCCAAACCTATTTGCAACTCTTTTGATTGCAATTAATTAAATAATAAGATAAGCAAAAAAGTAAGTCAAAGTAATAGAGGCTTTAAACAGACCTTAAACTACAAATGCGTAGGATTTTAAGAAATCGAATATGTGTTTGTTAAAATTGCCAAAGTTTAATTTAGACAAGTATACATAGCAACAATATCTAATTAAAGTTTTTAAATGCAAAATACTTATAATGAGGGCTTAATTAGGTAACAGTTGGGTGATAGTAAACGAAAATTCAGAAGGAAATTAAAGTTCATGTACTCGTTCCCTTTCAGCCGTACAACGTAAACAAATTTATTTTAAATTAAATTGTTAAGAATTTACGAAAAAGAAGTTAATAAGATATCGTAATAGATTTCGAAGAATATTGAGAAAACAGAGATGTATTATTAGATCTTACAAGGTGATAAGCTAACAGGATTTTATAAGTAGTAAGTTATTAAAATCTTTTGATACACTTGGTATACAAATGAGTAAGGCAAGTCAATTTTCCATGTTTGGTGTCACCAGCTGTTAAGCTTTAGATGGACTGGAATATCTATATCAATACGTCTCGACTGCTGATTACAAATATACCAACAATGTAATGTATTTAATAAACATACGAGTATATAGTTCCCTTAGTAAGTTAGATAACATTCTAATTTTGAACATGAAGCTAATGCCTACCTTAACTTATCTAAGTTACATAAAATTAGTTGCCTCTTTGTCAACTAGAGAAGCTTATTGGTATGTGATTCTGAGTTGGGTCATTACGTGTTTCTCACAATTAATCTGCCAAAAAAATCAAAGCAAACTCCTTTAAATATGACGAACTACACGTATCAATCTGTATAACAAGAAGCATTAATTATCCTCCTCTTTTCCTTGAAGTGGTTAATTTTTCACCATAGCATATGCACAGGCGCAAAAGCAACGGCGTCTTATTAATATTGTACATAACATTAATTTATGATTGCGCATAAATTAACGCGTCTGCTTTTCATAAATGATAAAAAAGGAAAACCAAAACAAAAAAAACAGATGTGATGGTAAACGACATTTTGGCCAAGTGCCACACATTTTTTGCTCGATTGTGTTAAATATTCCTTCTGAATAAACATAAACAATAAACGACAGCAACGCCAACACCAATGACAACGTTGTGGCAGTATCTGAGAGCCCGACCTTGGGCATATAAGAGCTATTAAATTGTGCCACCGTCGTAGCGTCACCGCGTGGAAAGTCCCTTACAAGAAAACGGCACACACTGCGTATACGTAATATGAATATAAATTGCTCTGGCGCCTTTTCGCAGTTTTTTGTGTTTTTCCTGGTCGCGACCCTTTCGCTGTTAATTGAAATTCAAGCATTTCAATGCGTACTGGAATTTTTTTAACTTTCCTCGTCGAGTATTTCGTGCAAGTAAAATTATTTTAGTGTTTGCCCAAATTTACATAAAGGGGTGAGGCAGACAAAGCTTCGAAACCTATATTGAGTTCTCAGCCACACGTTAGTGTAGTTATTTTTTATTGACATTTTATGACATTTAGATTCATTTATGATTGAGAGTGTGTCTGTTTTCGTATTACTTCAGGTAGGTTGGCACAAATGCATTCAAATGTTTTCCTAACACAACCACTGTTGGAATTCAAAGCACTATTCAATAAATAGTTTGCATTTTACATGAAGAGCGTGGCAAGATAGGGCCAGCCATCGAGTGTAACCTTGCAGCTGGTTTTTGGCAACGCAAACTAGTTTGGATCCGCAATGCGCTGCCAACATACTTGCAATCTAACATAATTCATGTCATAAATTAAACAAGTGTTTCATTATTGCTCTTGGCCCAAAATAATGTAGAATGACAATTTGCAGGTGAAGTATAGTTTAAAAAAGTTTACAAATTGATTTCTTATAAGGAATGTGAAGCTATTGAAAATATAGCCTACAATAAGAAAGGAATTTATTAAATACATATCTCCAAAGAGTTTTAAGCCAGCACTAAAACTATATTGATTTAACCAAATAATCCAAACGTAACATTTAAATGCTACTTTGGGAATATGTAGACAAATAGTCTACTATTTAAATCATTAATATTTATATTTATATATATATTCATATTTATTAATGTATTTAATATTTAAGTAGATTTTAAAATTTTCCGTCTTATAATTACTCATATTAAATTTTCTGATGTTTTTAAAATGTTTTTTGTGTATTATAAATTGTAATTTTTTTATATCGAAAGGGAAAAAAATGTTCTTCCAACGGCAAATCAACAAATTTAAAGTTATTCATATTTTTTGCTTCAAAAAAACCGACGGGAAATTTATATTTAAAAGAAAGCGAATGAAAAATTGCTTTTGTAGCTACAAACATGATTATTTCTTTATTCCTAGATCTTAAATAAACTTTAAGACTCAGCTTCCAATTCAGGCATACATATCAAATGTGGCTCCCAAGTATATTAAACGAACGATTCCAAATCATTGTTTTGTTTTTAATATTAAAACTAATTTAGTCACAATATTTAAAGGGTCTGTATTTGCTTTTATTTATTTTATAAAAATTGCATTCAAAATTTTATATTTACTTCTTAACGCCGGAGTTGCCTGGGTCAGTGTTTCAACTCAATTATAACTTTTTGAAAATGTTTACTGTCACGTTTGCACTTGCACCAAAAATTTAAAAATACTTTTTAAAAACTTTTAGCACACAAAATTTATTGGAACGCACGCAGCGAATTGGCTTATACTTGGGATTTTGAAGAACCGTTAACGTCTAGAATCCTTTGCAGACTGTTTCAAATGTTGGCTCGAACATGCTTTTTCAAAGAAAACTGCCGCAAAAGAAACTCACCACACACGCACTTCATTGGCCAAAGAGAAGAGAGTGCCCGAAAATTTTCCGGGCCACGGCAACATGCTGCAACTGCGTTGCGTCCACGGCATGTTGCTGGCAACAAACTGTTGAGTTGTTGCCGCTTGTTTCTGTTTCATTCCGTTCCAAACCATTTCGTAAGCAAAACAAATATGCGCGCGCTTCATTTCGGCATTGGAACAAAGACGTAGTTGAGTTTTATGTTCTCGGATACACTTCAATTAAGGCGAAAGGGCGTATTACTGACCGTATACAGTACTTGTCATGCAACCAAGACGTTTTAAAAAGCCTGTATTTAAATGATTTTTGCTGAAAACTTTAAGAATGCCTAATGACATTTTGAGAAAGTTCATTTAATACATATACTTATAAGTGTGTATGTTGTAGGGTCTGTAAATCGCGAATGGCTATGGAGTCAATGTCAAAAACACAGGAAAGGGTATCTAGGCATCGGTGCAGCACATGATGACTTTTAAGTTATTTTTATATTGGAAGCTATGCCGCTTTCGTTGGATGTTTATACAGAGACAATCAGGGTTCGTTGGCGTTGCACCCTTGGGCGCGCTCTTCATATGACAACTTACTCGAAAGTGCAAAAATACAAATGAACATAATGGGTGAAATGATTTCCTGCTTTTCAACTTTTGCCGTGTGATTCACCTTTTGCTAAGAATTGCTCTGTATGGGGTGCAGGTGGGTTGAAAGCATACATATGTACATACTTTATGAGTGAATGGACGTAGTTGTGCGTTTTAATTGTAATTCCCTTGGGGCTCGTGCTGTCGATGTTTTATCAGCATGCAATATTATAATGCCCATGAAGCGGTCTTTGTCTCTCGTTCAGCGCTGCCTTTGGCTGCCACATACATATGTGGGTGTCCTTTCGCCCGTAAGCCTACGAGTGTGTGTGTGTACTTGTGCGTTTTTATATTTCATCAGGCAATGTCAAGATCTGCTCATGCTCGTAGCGCATTGTTTTTTCACCTTTCCTTCATGTATGTACACATGTAGTTGTTGTTTCTGGTACTCGGCTTGCCACTGTAGCCTTAGCGTGTGTTTCATTCATTTTTCATTTTTTCTTCTTTAACATTCCATTATTGTTATTTTCATGGTTTGTTTACTGTGTTGTATTTTATTTGTAGTTACACTTGCCAAATGATGGCTTTCCTGTGCTTAAGAGCTGGATATATTCAAAATCAAGGTGCAGTGAAAATTGCAAGTTGTGGAATAAAATCTTGCCTAACAATGAATTCAACTGCATTTATAAACAACAACTAATTAAAATGTTAAGCTATAGTGCCATTACCCATTCTCAATATAAAAAAAAAAATCAAATTTTCAGTAGGTCCTTTTTTTTGGCTGTAGGTACTTGTATAAATTATTAAAATTATTATGACGAACCAAGGGTACTATTTAACTCTCCTTTTATTTATTTACACATATTTTCGAAGTGTATTACAGCTTCGATGTAGAAATGATATAGCTTTTCTTTTTTCATTTTAGAAGCGTTTTATTTAGTACACGTGCTTCTAAAGTTAATTGTTTTGACTTTTGCGCACATATGAACATGAAAATGGGCGTGTACACCCAGTCAAGGGTCAAATGAGTTTTATTTTTCTTCACAATGACCCAACATGTTTTTCTTTGTCGTATTGTGTTAATTCATTCATTCATTCATGCTGTAATCTTTTATCAAAAAAGGGCTACACCTTGTTGGCAGGGAATGAGTCCATTACATAATTATATTTTGAAAATGGCACTTCATATATAAATGCACGTGTATAAGGACTTAACACATAATTATAACTTGTATGTATGTGCAATACATAAGGGAAGGTATTCACAACTGCTTAGACTCAAAAATGCGACTCGGAAGTCAGTCAACTGATCCGTGGCACAACAAAGCGGAAATTGCAAAATGCTGCAAGGTCTTGAAAACACACAGCAACACATCAAATCATTAAAATTAGTAGATCAGCTTGGCTATAAACAGCGGCAATAAATTTCCGTTGCTAATGTCCCGATTATCAGGCAAGTGTAGACAAAGCCGCTTTGAATTGAAAGTAAATGTAAATGTTATCTTTGGGTAAAACAAGCGGAACACATTGTTTACAATTTTTAATTAATATAATGAAATTCCAAATAAATGTGTGCGCTCTGTTTTTGTTTTGATTTGGGCAACATAAAAATTTCTTGTGTTCATGTGCTCTGTAACTGCTTGGGATTTCCAGATTTCTATGTAAAAGATTGTTTACTTTATGGACGAAGCTTTACCATTTAAAACAAAATAACGATTGTTAACATGATTCACACGGCCATGTTTATACTTAGACTAAAGATTTAGACAAATAAAACGTAAAAAGAGTCTTAAATATGTTAAAATGGCAATGGAATATTCGCGCCTTTTTCATGAATAAAACATGCAAATACTTAAAATGTTCGGAGCGCTGTTGTGTACATATTTTTTTTATTTTTGTGCGCAACGACGAATAAATTCACTCAATGATTTCTTGTTTTGCCGGGGGTTTTTGTTTAAAGGCATTTGCCTCTGACATACTCTTGTTTAAACATATTTCTCCTGATTCTGTCTAATATAAATTGAATTTGAAAAGTTGGCTGATGGTTTGTACTGCAAAAACAAAATGAAGCAAACATTATTAGTTTATTGTGCCAAGTATACGCAACATCTGATAAAGTTTTGTATATTTTTCAAATTAAATGCAGGGGCCCTAAAAACACAAGCAATATCAACAAAGTTAGCTCGAATGTTGCCGTTTCACACACATATACAAATTTCAAACCAAAATCAATTGTGTGCCATTTTATGCGGCACCAGTCCTTTCCACCCGAAGAGTAGACTGCGAATCTTAATGCGTAAACATTTGCGAAAAGCGCGTCAAAGAAAACGAATACATTATGCCTTTTATCACCACAAGATATTTTTCAACTGTGTGGGCCTGCTTTTAGCTAACAATAAGCTTTATTTATTGCTGTTTATTTTTGCGTGAGCCATTTAAATGGTCCCAGAAAATTTATATCAAACAAGTATTGCAGGCTATTAAAGTCACTATCAAATATTAAAGAAATATTTGCGAAATATACGACTCTAATTAATTAATCTGCAAACAATGCTGTAAATAATAGAACAAGCACAAACACATTTGCACTGGATTGCTGCCCACGTATCGAAAATCGAAGTGATTCCCCGAAATTAGCTCAAGTGTATTATCTGTCATGACCAACACTCAAACTACTCAGCTTCAATTGCTTAGCACACTCATAGATGGCATTGTTGGCCGTCGATTGAACTTGAATTGGCCATGAAGCATAATTAGATAAAGCAGTAGCTCAATAGGGTACGTGCCTTGCCTTATTCCAGGCGCTTATAAATTAAGTTAATTGCTTTGCATTAATTAGCTTTGCATTGTTAGTGTGCAGTGGAGGCAATTATACGATTAATGCGAATCGAAGGCACAGAGAAAGCGCTATCTATCTCAAGTGGCTGAGTTGGATAAACCCCTAGAGTCCAGCACGCGCTGCTTTTGTATGCAATGCCAAACATTTGAGTTGTGAAGTGAAAAGATCGAAAAAATGCAACAAATTTTTGTTCGGACTTGTTGTACCCTGAGGGCACAACACAGCAACAACAACAACAAGGAGCTAACTACGAGTATGCACGTTGAGCCCTGGGCATCGCATGATGCCGAAACCATTTTCAATTTTACGCTTTGACGATTTGTAAATCACGCAACGTTGATGGCTCGACCGACTTTAAAATGCAAACAACAGCTGCCATCCATAAATCAGTGCCGGGTCCCATTGCGTTTATTGACAGACAAGGCACAAAGTCCGCAGCGCGGAAATTTTGGTGCATCTTTTAGGCGCGAACCAACAGTTTTCCAATGCATATTTGCGTAGATTTGCATGCGGGCACACACGTACTTTCATCACAAACTATGGCATTCTGTTTTGACAGCTGCCTGTTACAGCTACAACCATTTAACGGCCAATTCAAACAATGCTCGCAACTCACAAATACTGTTAGTGGTGCTGTTCGGTGTCAATTAGACCACCACAACCCAAATTGAAAGTGTGATTGGGCATTGTCTTGATTGTAGCTAATAATATATAATAGCTGAGAAAACTTATCCAGGCCGGTTCAATCCTCCGGTTTAAGGTATTAAGGTGTAATTTGATATTAATTTATAATTAATTAATTTATCTGTCAATATCAGTTGTTCTGACATGCATGATATCGATAAATAGGGTTGCTTTTTGCTGATCATGATTACCAATTATTGGTAGTATATTTGTGTACCATTATATTTTTGTAGTAGGATGGAGTTTTAAAAGCTTTTAAAACCCTATGCAATAAGCTCAAAATATATTTGAATATTTGTAGCACATACCTCATTCCACATACCTCATACCACATACCTCTCCTTGTATTGTTGAGACATTTGTTCAGAGCAGTATGCAAATCAACAAAATAACTCACCAAAAATTGCTTGATAAAAAAATTGTTGCTTTTATGCCCTGTTCACAAAGAGTGTACTTACAACCATGATCAGTATGATGTGATATAAGAACACTATTTTCTTTTTAAATGTTTTTTATTATATATACATATTTATTTTTTTTGCTATTGTTTATCAGCTGTTGATAATTTAGCAAATTAATATCAATTGCATTGCCTTTGGATCGGTCACCAAGTCAGAGTGCTTTACGCTAAGTCCACATTTATTTACATTACATTGCACAGCACTTGGTATTTTCTGTTGCGGTTGCGGTTTTGCATGCAAATGTCATTTTGAATGGAAATTTCTTTGGTGTGCATCCTGCGCCCTACTTGTGACTGCTTGCGGCGTC